ACTGAGAACAAACAGAGATGACAGATTTAAAGAAACAAACAAAATACCCAGAAAAATCATAGCTGCCTGTCTGTAAGCATCTGTAAGGGGACAGGATGAAGAACAGGAGATAAAAAGGGAAATGAATCCACATTTGTCACAGCATAGCAGAGAACCATCAAACACCAATTCTCTTGCCTGTGTTCTTTCCATCATTCACGTACAAATTTCTTATGAGTTTGTTCTCAGTATGAATAATGAGGTACACCTCCACCAGTGCAGAGGTGTTTCAACAGCATTGGCACCATTATTGGGTCACTTTCCTACTACTATAATGTGTATCCCAGAACAGGATTCTTGTGCACATGAATTGGGATCCTTTCAAGTTTCTGCAGCATACCTCACAATTTCAACCCTGAATTTTCTTACCCAACTCCCTAGCACCAACAATCCTCACATACAAGTAAGAACAGAGACTTTTTTGACAAATCAGAAAGAAACCTCTGGTCTGTAATTTTTACTTATTTGTAGTCTTCATTTTAGACTCTTTGTAATTAAGGGGCCTGCAGTCCTTGAGCACCTCAAGCTACAAACACTGTTGAAACTCAGGTTGCACAAAGCATAAAACTGAATGTTAGCAGAGAAAAGTCTCTTGGGCAAAAACTAAGCCAGAACCTTACCTCATAGGATGTTTTGATGAGTTCAAAGATGTCGATTTCAAGTGGCGGGTCATCTCCACTTGTCAATAAGGCATGCAAGTGGGGAATAGGAGGAGAGATGCTCTGTCTGTTAACTACATTGTCCAAATATCTGTGGGGAAAAAAAAGAACAGATGCAAGACTTCAGGATTAGTATCCAAGAAAAGAAGCAATATCCTAAATGTATCATTCCCGACTTCTTTGTATCATCAATCTAAACACGTAGGAAAATTTAACTTTTCCCAGCTAACCTGCAACACTACCCTCAATATATCTGAAGTAAAGTTGATTTTCACTCTATTTTGGGGGTATCCACTCCTTTTAAAGTGGGTTTCAAGTAGGAAGCTGAAGATCTTGCTACACAAAGAGGAGATTATAATTTCAAACAAGCAAACCGTACATTCACTAGACTTGGGAGATTATCTGCTTGATAAAGTTCCATGTTTCTAGAATGTGATTCCTACCAGGATCTGTTCTTAATAGTAGATCAGAATTCTTCCATGAATTTCGGATAGACAACCCTTCAGAGTTCAGATTCAAACTGAGAAGAAGGAATGCACTATGCTGCAAAGCAAACAATTCCAGAAAGATGGGATTCCTCCACACTGGAGCCAAAAAATAATTTCAGCTGTTGTAGAAAGCAACAGCAAACCTCTCTGGAGCTCAAGCTGTGCCCTAGAGTGTTATCTGTGATCTACATAATGGAATTAGGTTGAAAGAGATGATGACTAAAAAGGGTACCATTACTATTCAGTTATAAATTAGAACAATGAATGGTACCTGCCCAGAATAGTCATGGCTTCACCTTCATCACAGCACTGTAACAACTTCTCCACGTTGGCATCAAGTATGGCCAATGACACCTGCAAGATAAACTTGATTCCCTCATAGAAAAAACAGTCAACAATAACCACGGCACTCTCAAAGGGCATGACACTGAGAAAGAGAGTGAGAAACCAAGAAAGGGATATGGTGGAAATCACTCCCAGGTCCTGCATCTTTTCTGACAGCTGTGGAAGATACTCTCGTGTAAGCTCTTCAAAGATGCCTTGGTCCACCAATGCACCTGGGAAAACAAACAAAAACAATGACAGAACTCAAATTGGTGGTATCATGGTACTACACCCAAGCTAATTAATTATTAAACAAAACAGTCTAAGTTCACTTTAATTTCATATAAGTCTCTTGAGAACTAAAATTAACACATTTATTTAGATTTGTTCCCTGTTCCCAATAAACAAACATACTTAGATAGAGACTATTCCTACATTGCAGAGCATACAGAAACAGAATCTATAATTGATTTATGCATTTTCCCTGAAAGGGAGGGTGGAAGATTACTGATATGATGGTATTTACATCAAACTACACTCTTTTATACAGACCAACTTTAAAAGCCCATGAAGTGGTGCTTTCACTAACCTTGCCTGGGAGCCTATTCCCAAGATTTAATACATCATTCAGATGGGTAAAAAAAAAACCCAATAATTTTCTTCTAGATATGCCTCCTTACTGCTAATGGTCCCTTCTGCTACCAATTTTTAGTGACTTCATCTTCCTTGTTACTACAAGGTAGTACTACTACCTTGGTAGCCTGTGGTGTCTCTTCCTATGTCTCCATCACACACCTGCATCTTTAAAATGCATCACATTCTATTCATTCTGAACAACAAAACATTCCTCAGAGATGCTGGTGCAACTGTAGTTGAAAACCCAGCATGAATTTGACAAACTCACCCACTACTCTTGTGTTGTAGTAATCTGGTAACATCCGCTCACATAAAGCCACTAGGAGCCAGAAAGCCTCCTCCTCATTGCAGTACAGCAGCAGTACTGAGGTTACAATGTTCATGGCCTGAGGGCCGGCAGAGTTTAATATGCACATATAGGAGAGAAACACAAAGATGGTCATGTTACAGACCAGCTAAACATAGAAAACATGAATAAAGCAAAACTGTCACTAAAAGTCACATCTATTTCCAGCTTTTACTGTTATCTGAGTTAACAGATGACCTTGAATCAATTTACCTTCCTGCTTCAGTTCCTCTGCTTGTGAGGAAGCAAATACTTTAACTACTTTTTGTCAAGCACTTTCTTTAATCAATATGACTAAGTATAATTTTCAAAGTTTTCATAAAAAGCTCTGTAACAATTTGGTTGTCACAGAACAACATAGTGAGAACCCCTAATACCAGAGCAATATGCAAAATTAATCCAAATTTCCACTGAATTGTTTCACAAGCCAGCAACTGGCTTCATTTTCAATACACTGCCGACATGCACAATCACTTATTCAATTTAATTGCTCTTTTTAATGAAACCAGAAGATATTTTTCCCTCACAGGGAAAGCTCTAGAAGGAAAACTAGTAGAAAACTGTCATTACACCTAACAGAAATGTACAAAGTCTATTTAAATGCTGCATCCAAAGGACAGCTAAAAGATCTTACAACATAACCACTTCTTTCCTATGCTCTCACACCACCACATGGACAGCATGAAGGAAAAGTCTGGAAGTGGACAAAAAACTGCAGAAAAAGTCCAAGTCAATCATGGTTACCGTGTAGGACTAACAAGTCTAAGACTTCCGTCTTACCTGACAGTACCCAATTGTTGGATTTCTGAAGGCATAAGCTGTTAAGACTCTCCGGAGGGCAGCAATTCCCAACTCATTCTGGAAAGCAGGATGTTCTGGCATAGAACGGTGCAGATCTCTCTCTATTTCCTCTGTAGCAAGATTGTACTTTCCCATTGACTTTTCCACAAGATCTGCATAGTAATCAGGATGAGTCACCATCTCATTCCAAGCCCCTATAATGACAAACAAATACAGCTTCACCTCTTGAGCTTTGGAATACAGATTTTATACCCACAGTTTCAGAGGAGAGGCAGCCAGGAAGCACGACATGAACTCATGAACTACAAATAGATATGACAGCATAGTAACAAACTCACTGTTAAACCATCATGTTAGAGCCTAGGTCTGAACACCGAAACACAGACAAAGAAGGCCAAAGAGATACCATGCTCATAAAAAAAGTAATCTCAGGAATGCGATCAATGCATTTTTGGCAGAAACACCATGATTCCTGCTAGCTGTCAAAGTATCCAGCACAACCTCCTACCTGAAAAAAGGAGCCACAGCTCTCCACGAAGATTCTCTGGGATTCCCTTTTGCACCAGCTCCCTAGTCTTGGTAGTGCGATACATACACATCCCTCGTCCATATTCAAAGAAATGAATGTTCCAAGACTCTTCCTTCATCTTCTCCTTTGCCTTCACAGGAACAAATATGGCCATTTTAGGAGATTAATGCATTTTTAAGTTTGTAGGACAGGTGATGTCTGGGTATACTCAGGCCTACACTTCACAAGAGAAATACACTGACATTTAAAGCCTTTCTTCTTCCTGTTGAATAAAAGGCTGTATGCTAATCCACACTATTCTGCATCAGTTCTGACCTGGCTTAAAGTCAAGTCTTTACAATGCTAACATGGGCTGTGCAATGGTATTACACCTTGCAAATGTCTACATAAATGCAAGCAGAACCATCATCTATGAGAATTAATAAGCAAACAGAGGTACCAGTCCTCTGCTTTCCTGATCTGAAGAAAAGCAGTTCTTCACAGACTTGAGTTTACATCCCAAAAGCATACTAACACTGATTTTTCAGCCTCTAGTCAAGTATCTTGGGGATCTCAGTACTGATAAAGCGGTCAGCCAGGTTACATCTATGCAGTGCTATCATCGTGTCAGACACAGCAGTGATACTGCAGGACTGATGAGGGATAAAATTAATTTTAAGTCTTAGAGCAGGACAGGAAATCTGCCAAGCTACTGCAAACTAATTTAGAGTTAACTGTTTTAAGTTAAAATTTTACTTGCCCCTTTGGGTCCCAAGAGCTCCTCGGAATTTCTTCTGAAGAGTTTGAGTAGTCCCTGCGAGGCTGTTGGCACCTCCCCAGCACAGAAGTTGACAGGTCGATTGCTGAGAGCGGACGTGGGGCTGACTGCAAGTGGGCTGCTGGAAGGCAACTCTGGAACCTCCTGAACAACAGAACATAAAGCCTCTGAGCTCAGGCAGCCTCCCTCCCCTCTGCTAATTGTGTAACAGTGATACAGCATTTACTGGTAACAAGCACTCTTCACACACTGTAAGGAGCATTACTCTGAAAAGTTGACAAATCCTCCTCCCAACTACCTCCTTAGTACCTCACAACCATGATCAGCCAAGTTCCACTTCCATTCCCTATCGCTGCCACATGGTTTCTTGGATGGTGTTCGCTGCAAGAAGTCAGAGATTCTCTGTACCAAGAAATCTCGATCTTTCAGATTGGCAAAGAAGAATGTCATTTTACTCTTAGTGCTGATGGACAGAGGGCTGGGCAAGACGCTGGAACTATCTGCTTTCTCAACTATTGTCACCTAGAAGACAAAGACAAGGGCCATTTGGATCTAGCGGATTCTCCATTATCTATAAAGCACCACACAAAAGCTAGCAGCACACTAAAGACAAGAAAGGCCTGCAGTCTTGATATACAGCTACGAAATCCCCACCTCCCTGAGAGGAATGATGAGATGACAAGCCTCCTCTGCCTTGCTGGCAAAACAGATGTAATTGTTGGAAACAAACATCTGGCCAGGAATATGCATCTTGTTGAATGGTGTCCACAAGGTGCAGTCTGTATGTCCATCCAGGCATTCATCCTTGGGCAACCGGAAAGTGGCACGGTAGCACTCATTTTTGGCTCGAGCATCCAGGTCTCTGGGGAAAAGTACAGAGTAGTCCACAGAGGCTTTTTCAAGTGAGAAAAACCCACTCAAACACTAATGTTAAATGTTCATTCCAAGCACCAGCTTCAGACTGTGCTGTGTATTCTTAGTATTCATTCCTCTAACTGAGATGCCAACCCTTATCTGACTCCTCTTTCAGCCTTCAGACATGCTTCACTGACAAACCATGTCCTGCAATACAACATATGCAAGTGCACCTGTGAAACTTAAATGCTACATCAGATTCTGAAACTGCAGAAAACAGTCCCCAGCGGAAGGATTTATTACAATATAAATGTGTATTACTTTTTATAAATCTTCAACTTCAGACAAAGGGGCTCATACAATTTTCTTCATTCATTTTTTAATTTTAAACAGGATTTTCAACAGTTTCTAGCTGAAAATGCCTTCTGACAATGCCCAGTCATGCATGAGAAAGACATGAGGGTGTGTGTGAATTCAGTATGAATTTGGGATGGAAACAAACCACGACAGGCAGAGGGCTAACGATTGAAATAAGTGATGCAGCCCCTAGAGTGAGAAAACCCCGATGACACCTGAGAGCTACACAGTAACGCAAATTTATTACTACAGCATCCTGTTATCTGTCTTCTCACTGCTGGGAACACACACCTTTTTAATGCAGAGATGTTCTTAAGAGGTTTCCTGGGCTTTGGAAGGGACTTGTCCTGTAGGAAGCTCTCGTTATCTAACAGCTGCCGCATAGCAATGTTAGCCAACTGCTCCATCAGCTTGAATGTCTCGTTGATGTTGAGAAACATGGAAAAATAAAGTTCACTGTCCCTTGTGTTTACTTTAATGCACTCGGGGAACAGCAGTGTAGCATTTTTTTCTAGCTGGGTTACATCCACCCACTGGATCACCAGCGTAACTGGGAAAAAAACAAACAAACAAAAAACAAACAAAAAATGAAACTACTATTACAATTTGAGGCAAAAGAACAAACTATCAGAAATGAAGCTCAAGCAGCCAGTAAGCTCTCAACACAGCAGCATTCTTCTCCTCTTACACATGGACAATTCTTCTCTCCATGCTTTTATTGTGTTCTCCAAAAATACTTGGAAATAATCTTTGGGATTAACTAACCACACTAGAAATAATGCAGTTCCAAAAGGACTCCCTCTCATCCAATAAACGCTTTCAACTACAATTACTCAAGTTTTCATTCTTTCTTTCCAGCAAATTAGCTTTGGACTCAAGAGTTCAAGCTTTTTAAATACTGGGTCCTGGCTGTGGTTCCAAATAAAACTCACCAAGGTAAAAATATTGCTTGGTTCTGTAATCTCGCTGTAATAAAACTTGAGGTGTACTAATATAACTTGAGAGATGTTTTGAAAAATGACTCAGGCATTCAGACTAAACATCACTGAAGTGCCTGTGAGTGCAAGGACTGCTCTACGTGTTGAGCTAGAGCTCAAAGGATTCCTAAAAGGACAAAAAAACCCCAACCTGTCAGTTTAAAAGAAAAATCTCACAACAGATCAGTTACATTAAAAAAAATCATGCAAAATGGCAGAAAAACAACTAGTAGGCTTATAACTCACCCTCTTTGCCCAGCAGAAAGGAGTAGAAACAGAGGTGATTGACAGTGAGGTACAGCCAACCCTGCCTGGGTACCCGCCCCTTCCAATAGCTGCAGGAATAGTAATTGACCAACTTCTCCACCTCGGGCATCCCAAACTGCTTCCGCATCTTCAGTTCAGCCTCTTTGAATTTACCTGGGTCCTCTTCGCTCTGGGGCTGCTCATTCTTGTTCTCTTCAGCAATAATTCCCTGAAAGGACATGGGAGGAGAGAGAGAAGAAATGGAAGGGAACATGCCTGCTGACAGACATAATATACAGCCAAAGGTCACAGCAGCAATCCAGAAGACAGAAAGAAGAAACGTGACACAGCAGTTATCATTTCTCCCATCATGTTTAAGAAATAACAAAGATGTGTAGAAAGAGCAATCAGATAGTCAGGGAGTCTATGATCTGGGATCTACTCCTGAGCACATGTGGCAAGCACTCATGTTTAACGTTTGACTGAGTTTCTCACTACTGGCCTGGTAACGCTCTGAACACCCTGCAGGAGAACTGAGGTCTATTTTCACTTGCATGTATGCTTCTTCAACAGGAAGAAGATCCTCTGCCAGGAAGGGCAGAACTCTGCAGTCCATCAGCTCTTGACTGGTCAGAAGGAAAAACAAACGACCACAGTCTCTGTCAGACATGCACACGGAAAATACAAAGAATCTGACAGGAGTACTGAAAAAGACTCAAATTGCTGCTGTTCAAATAAAAAAAAAAAGTATTTGTAAGTTTCTACTCAGGTGAATTTGTGGGCTGGGAATCTGAAAGCTGTAATTGCACCACAAGCAGAGACATCTATCTGACTCAGAAGTCAGTGGAAGTTGGGGTGCAGTTTCCTTACATCACAGATGAGATAGCTTCAAGACCACCGTGGCAGGGCAAGTACATTGCCTGCAAACTAGAATTCTCTCTCCCGTATCTTTTGCTAGATGAACCCTCATTTAACACTCTCTCTGCATTACAGGTATAATCTGGAATGATTTTAAAGAGGCACTATATTTTACTGTGTAGAAGCATCCTAAGCAGGCTGTTCCTTGAGATCTGCCACTCAAACTTTTCTGCCCCAACTACATTTGTCCAGTGTTACAACTGTAACGTGACACTGATAATACTGTATGCATTTCATGAGACATGTATGTCTGAAAAGGGAGGGAGAGGTGTTTTACAATGGAGTTCTTGCTCCCTCCCTCCCAAGGGTAACAAATTCTTAAGACCGCCTCCCTGTTCCTTCTTAGGATCTGAAAGTCCTTCAGGGAAACACGTCACTTACATGTATCTTGCCCTTGACAAAGGTGGTGATATCTTCCTCATTATCAAAGATGGACAGAGTCTGCAGTAAGTTATTCTCCAGCCATTCCCAATGTTTCGTGATCTCTTTACGAGATGATCCTAATTGATGGGGTAACGGGAAGAGCAAAGTAAAAAGAAATTAGAACAAGGTCTTTTTTCCTCCAAGTTCACAGCAGGAAACGGATAATTTCCAAACAGTGATCAGGACACATCAAACACACCAACTGTACGCATCTTAAGCATATTTTATGTACACCAACGTGATGTTTCTAATGAAATGTCTCCACTGCCACTGAGGATAATCAGCACATTACCAAGAGATCATTCTATTTGCCAGTGCACACCAAATACGTTTTTTTCCCCCAATAACAAGCATTCTGATGTTCCAGACACGTAGTACTCTTTTAATTCCTGGTAATCTAGAATAAAAGTTGCGAACTTTAGAAGAAGCTTGACATTTCAGAACAAATGAAGTTATTACACCTCCAAAGAGGTTCCATTTTCCACGAGCAGTGATCAGCAGAAAGCATACAATTCCAAAACAAAAAACCATCAAAATATTCATGTCAAAGTTCTTTGCTTTCTTAAATAAAAATCTCAGCAAAACTTCTATCAGTTAGTTGTCCTTAACCATACAGTCTACAAGAGTTCACAAAGGATAACCTTCACTGTGTAACCAAATTAAAGAACTCTTCTACAGAAAGTTGCCTTACTCAGTTGCCATTAATTATTTCAAAGAACTGCGTTTGCTTGAAGATTTCTTCCTCTCTATCAATAGCTATCGCTATATTCTCTTGTAGACAGAAAAATGTAGAAGAAATTAAAAAAGCAATTATTTAACAAGATAAGAAACATGATTAAATGCAGACAAAAAGAAATCTGTTCAAATGCAAATCAGAGAAAGACATTTCTAACTTTCTCTTTGCCAAATTCCAGTAAATTTATCTTCTGAAGTTTCATACAAAAGCAGTGGGCTTTCTAAAAATGTTAACAGTGTGCCTCCCTCTACTTCATTTCTCTGTAAGTACCATAGATCTCTCAGTGCATTTAACGATGGAAAAGAAAAAAAGCAGTGGACAACACAAGCAGTTCCCTAAAGCTACTGCTCTACCTGACTTTCTAAGAGGCAGCTGCAGCAATGAAATAGTCTTCACGTACTTGCAGTTGGATACCTGACCACAAAACCTAATGCCAGCTAATCTGTGGTTTCATAAGCAAAAATAACTCCAGGACCTGAAAACAAAAACTAGAAGCAAGAAAGCTGCCTTGTCTAAAAGGACTGCAGGGCTATGAATTTGAGTTTGTGTGTACAGCCCAATGGATTGGACAGTAAATTCATTTTCTTTTGTCTCTGTGTATGTTTACTTGTCATCCATCCTGGCATTGACTACATTTTTAAAGCATAAATGATTTTGAGTCATATTAAATGGTTTATTTTAAGGGCACTGAATTATGAACTATAAAATGCTTTGGTCATGGAAAAAAACCCACAGGTCCAGCAACAATGGCAGGGGAATAAAAATCCGTGTTTTGTTACATGAGCTGCACCTCTGACCAAGTGACTCCAAACAAGTTGCTGAAATAAGCCAGAACTCAAGAACTGACATGTTTCTAAGAAGAACATTAGAATGACATACATGAAGGAGTAAAATTCTGCAATTCCTACAAAGAAAGTTGTAAGAACAAAGTGCTGGAAAGCTGAAGCTGCCCATACGACCAGAATGCTGCCCGCTAGTATTTACACATGGTAAACTGTACATAAAATATATGCATTTTTCCACTAGAGAGCCATATAAATTTTGTAACTTTAAGTGAATGCCAGTGCTCTTACTTTGACAGTAAAATGAGAACCAGATATGATTTAAAAAAACACTTTGGATGCAGACAATGTATTTACTCCAGTATAATAATTTATCAAACTCTATTCGGTTGTTATACAGCCTGTCTAATTTTACCACGCTGCATTACTTAAAAGTAACTGAGATATAGAGGGTATCAACTAAACACTCCTGAAATAGTACAAAAATAACACACTCATTGAGTGTCAAGATACTATATAATTTCAGACTTGCATTGTACGGAGTGACTAAATATTCGGCTTTTTTCTGTGTAGTTTCTGGCCTGCCATTTTGGCTTGTCTTTCTTCCTCTCTGCATCCTTCCTCCCCAAAAGGGAAACTGAGTTTCTGTAAAACACAGCAACTTCTAAACCTCTCTTCTGCAGAATGTAAGTAGCTTTGCAGGGCAGAATATTGTGTTGGTTGCCTGGGGAGAAGACGGGAACAGGGAAAACAAGACATCAACATCTGAGGGCTCAGCAAATGATTACCTCATGCTCACATTTTATGTCTCAACCACAAAGTGAGAAGTGAAGATTCTTATTATAAACAAAGTTGGTCTAACAAGTATGTCTGAAGATATTTTCTCTTCAGGACCTAAAGACCTAATCACAGTTCACCACCAGATATTAGAAGGTTGTAACATGATATTCTAATACAGTAGTTACATTTCTCAAGTAAAAGAGGCCAAGGTTTCTCGATGTTTTAAAAAAAAAAATACAATTGTAATATATTTTGCAGAAATAGTGTATCTATCTATTACAGGCCAGAAATAACAGAAAAAAATAAACCGGATCAAAACAGTAAAGAGATTCCCCAAAGAGTGTCTGGCACCTTGAACAACCTTACGTGTTCCTGGTGAGCAGGTTTTGGCAGAACACCCATTGTCCCACAGCAATCTTATCATCATGGTTTTATTCTCTGAACCATCTCACTATGACCTTGCAAACAGATACTCCTTGAAAGAAAGGGAATTTGTAACATTTGCAGAAATTGAAGTTTTAGAGCCTTAAGGTGCTAAACTACACTTTAAACAACACTGCGTTCTGTCACTTCTGGCATCTTCCACTATACCCCTCCAGAAGCTCTAGGAAGTTTCCTGAGCAGTCAAGCAATACTCAGGTGGGACAACCCATCATCTGAACCAAACAGACAACAGAATAACACAAATCCAGCCCGTGACAAGAGTCACACCAATACACACCACACGCCACTGCCCAATACACTTGGGAGTCCTGAGTCTGGTGCAGAATACGGTATGGGGCAACTCTGGCACTGGAATCCAAAACCACGTCCAACGTTCCCACAAGAAGACCTAGGAGGCAAAGAGAAAGAAATTAACACTGTAATACTCAATTGAAGAATTGGGTGAAGTCAAAGTACAGGATCAACACTTCAGAAAAATGGCAATGTTCATATCATGTATGCTGTGATGGAAGAGCAATGGCACTTGTTTGAGAAAATGAAGACATACATCCAGTCACTGCAAGCAAACTGCCTATAAACCAACTACAGCCAGTCCCACTGGTAATGGGTGTTTAGATTGCAACTAAATGTCTACTAAACCTCATTAAAATCCCTCACCTTCCTAGGAGAGTTTTCTAATAAAAGTGAAATCTGTTTTTCTCTGTGGGGTTTCTGTTGCTCACAGTGATTTTTAAGCCCACTAGACTAAAACACAGAAGAGCTTTCAATACTGCTCCTTTCAGCATCATCTATGCAAACAGTAGGGAAGATAACTCATCCAAAATGGAATCAAACAGCTCTGGAAAAACAGGTACTCCCAGGTTTCGGTGACATTTCTAGAAGTACTTCAATTAAAGAAAGAAGTCAAAGAATAAAAATTTAATTACACAAAGTTAAAATATTTTTCATATGATGTTAAATAAAAAGCAGGCACTTCTAGAATAAATGCTGACAGCCACCAGAGTTTGTAAAGCATAGCCATGTATTTAAATTAAGTCTATTTACTAGATACATCAAATAACTATGACACTTTGTTATTCTAGCTAATGTACTATGAGCATCTTTAATGCAAAGGAATTTTGAAAAATCCTCATGATTAAAAGTTTTCTAACATTAGAACTTGGAGAGGGAGCACGGGTTGCCCCTCTGGATTGCCATCTGGGAGGCCTAGGCTCAACTCCCTGCTCTCCCCTCTATGGTTTGGGTAAGTCTTGCGCAAACCGTACTCATCCGTATCTCATTCATTATCATGAAACATGCTACTTCCTCCTCTTTCTCTCTCTTGGCTATCCAAAAGCAAGTAATAGCTTAGGAATATACCAGTGAACATATTTCAAGAGAAGCACCATCCATAGCAAGTTCACCTGGTAGTCCTTGAAACACGCACATACGTATCCAGCACAGTAGGATCTCAGTTTCGGCTGCAGGTTTCTCATGTACAGTTTTAGGCAGAATAAGGATTTAAAAGTAATTTTGAATACTTCCTATAACATTATTGAATGTGTCAAATATTGACATACAGACCAGTAACAAGGCATGTTTAAGAACTCGACTATGACAGCACTTTAAATAACCTTCCAGACTGGCTGAATATCTAGGTTCTAACTCAAAAATTTCAACTTGCAGTTGTACAGCTCCTTAAGGAGGACACGCACAAGAGCTCTGAAGAAGACTCGCACTGAGCTAAAGTAGCTCAAGAAGTAAACTGGCTCACAGCTTCAACCATTTAAGAACAGATCAGATGTTTCCAGAACAGCACTAGGTGCCACTTCTTCTTGTAAAAACCTGGGAAATTGCTGAATACAATTATATGCCTGCACACAAAAATGCACAAGTAAATTATGTTACATGAAACAGAGTAATTCAAACTAATTTTAAATATTGTGAAAAGAGGGGATATGCTAAGGATGTTTATCAGCTGTGCCACTCCTGTAGTTAGTGTATTTGGCTAACAGGGCTAATACATGAAACTGGTTGTGCATAATTCACAACTGTAAAAAGCATATTTTTATTACTCACATAACGGTGTAAGCATTTTGCACATAAATGGGGTGTTTTAAAAGCGAGGGGATTTTTTGTTCCTGTTAACACTGTGCCTTGGTCACAGCTAGGTTATTTCGACAGCTTCTGTCACCAAACACAGCTATCGGGCATACACACACAAGGGTGGTTTTCACTGGGCTGCTCCCACACAACTTCACTCCCGGCCCCAGCACAGCGCCATTTCCATACAGATATTAATTAAAAACTCCATCTTACTTTCATCCACTAAATCTTGAAAAAAACATAACCAAAAAAAGAAAGAAGATACAAAGAAAATACCTCAATAATGCAAGGCAGCACGACTGAGACAAAGAAGCCATTTTTGCCAAGGGAAGGAAATCATCCCGGCCACCCCCGGTACAGTTATTTGTCCTCCCGGTGCAGCAGCACCACTGGGGAAGCCGGACCTCAGCCCCCCACCCTACAGGCCCA